CTTCCAACAATCCGGAACTCTGCATGTGATGATTCAAATGACAGTGACCTGTGAGAATGCCTGTTAGACATCGTAGTTCATCCCTACTGTAGTCCAACAACTATTTGGTATCATGCTTCGAATGGTCAATAAACGCCTAGGAGTGAGCCAATCCTGGAAGATTCTACCAGAAGTCCATAAATCTTCTTGCCTTCCTGGTGTTCAATCTTTGTTTGGCAAAGCCTAAAGCGATGCCAACGACAGTTTCTGATCCGATAAAGCTGCTTGCAGCACCCTACTTTGCAAGGGAGTCAGCAGCCTTGTTGCCTTCCAGGCCAGCATGGCCAGGAATCCAGATCAGAGACAATCCGTCACGTCTTCCTTCCGAGGATATTCGTTTTTAGCAATTTGCTACCACTTTAGACGTTGCTCGGAAGGATCCAAGAGCTTCAAACGCCGCTTTACTGTCCGATAATATTTTTATTGACTTGTGCATGAGGTTGGATTTTTCCAATCTCTCCGCACACAATTCAATAGCGTACATTTTTGCTTTTGAAATACAGTCGCATACGTTTCTAGGCTGGTTAATATCTCTGCCCTGGATCTGCGACTGAAAACACCTGCACCAGAACCGGAAGGTGTTTTTTATCCATCTGTGAACCAACAATGATCAGCTCTTCCTTCTCCCGTAGGATCCAGTCCTCTCTACTCGGAAACAGTACTTTATAAGGTAGTTCGTAGTTGACAGTTGGAGGCATGAAGTCAGAGATAATTTCCAGAATGCTCTTACTTCCAGTGTCAACCAACAGTCTGTTGCACTCTGCATTAAATTGATTTGTGCAATTGGCAATATGGCAATCTATATGCAGTCCATCTGGCCTCTCTCTCCAGAAGAATATAGAGAGGAGATAGATCTAGAAGGATCTCCATGGCCGCTGACGGTGTAGTACTGATGGCACTATTGATGACCAGACAAGCTTGTCTCTGTAAGCCAGAGAGCTTCGTCTGGGCCGTTTTCTGTAAAGCCTTCGGCCACCAGGCAATTGCACAATAAGTGATCATCGGTCTGACAATCATCACATAAATTCAATGGATTTGATTGGGACCTAAACCCCAAAATTTAACAAAAATCCGTCGACATGTCCACAGGGACAGTTTGGCTTTGTGTAAAACTTCCAAGTGAGCGTTCCAGGTCGGTAGCCAGGCGTTTCGACGTGGGTGCTTTGTTCACTCACTCGAATTGACTGCCGTGTTGGTCGGTGGTTCAAGCCCTAATCTGAACTATCGATTTTCACTTGCTATTGTCCAACCCGTGTTAAGAATCACACGATAAAAGGTAAGACCTCAATCCTTAGCTCGTAGAAGTTTCGACTTCTGAGGGTTGTCGTTCCTAGAAGTGCCACAGCTGATTGACAGAAAAACAAACAGATTTTTTTAAACAGACAGGTGAGTTTTTTTCATCAAGAATAATGCCAAGATATTTCACCTCCATTCCAAATGGAATGACCTCACCATTGAGGGAAAGTGGCGTTAGATCGTCTAATTTTCTCCTCTTGGAAAAGGGGATTACCACAGTTTTGCTGGAGTTGACAAACATCTGCTCCCTCAGTTTCTAATATATTGCACACACAAATTTTTTGATTATTGTGATTTGAATCACGTAATTGCTTTCATTGTAATACTCAGTGCTGAAATATTTTCATTGTCATTCATTTCAACAGGAATCATGCATATTCAATAGTTTTATAATAGGTTGTTTTTCCGGGTTTCATTCCGTGTTCTGTGTTTCCAGTCCTCACAACGATCATTTTCACGACGTTTCGGCAAAGTCTTATTTGCTATTTCTGATGATGTCCAAAGTTTGGACCTACTTCAGGTCTAATAATTTTTTATTCATAACCACTCAAAAATTCACATTCGTGAACAAACATTTATTCTGGTCTACCATTTTATAAGTTGCTTGAAATTATATTAACATCGATTACGAATGTTTACGAAACCTAATTAACAATGAAATCATAAAGGTATTATTTTACTCTACCCAGATTATAAATTAAAACACACAATGCGAATTGAATCACTGTAATCTCAAATTTCATGGTTTATACTGCTCACCGGCTTATATTACAACACACTTGGTCCTGGAATGTTCTGGCATCATAAGAAGCGAAATGTTTGTAATCTATAGCATGTAAAATAATTTTACATTTCCAGAAATATCACAAATATAGCATGTACTTCACTTTGATACATATAACTGGAACCCCTGACCTGAAATAAATCTTTTAAAACCACACCAAAACAAAAAGTCTGTTCATCGACGCACGTTGCGCTAGCCAAGCTGACTTTGTTGGAATCGTTCATTCTGATCAGTTTTGAAACAGCTATAAATGCGCCGCCACTGGCCATTTGCTCTTGGTCAATGGTGAGCTAACCAAGTCCTTTGTCACTCGACCACTGGCATATCTCATGTCTTCAATAACAAATTATTGTATAAATAAAAACAGCATTTTATCAGCAATTCCCTTTAATGAACTCCGATGGGATAAGCTAAGACTCGGGAATAACTTGAATCAAATTTTTTAGTGGATGCGACACGCTGTCACACTAATTGGTATAATTAATTGATGCTTGTAACTGTCATAATACGAGAAAATATTCCATGTGAAGAATGCATTCCTTCTTCCATAATTAATCTAGTTATAATCGCAGGAAGACAAGGTTTGGATTTTTTGCATATCTCACCAGGATTTTTCGACTTGGTGTCAGGTAACATTTATCGTGCTTTATTCACTGTCGTATGTCTTCTACTTAGAATATAATATGATTCAAAATTTTTCTCCTACTTCGTTTCTTCTTTTTCAAATCTTATTTCCCAAATCAAAACAGATAGTACCATATAATAAATAGAAATGAGTATTAATAATTGATAAAAATAATGGAAATCAGAGCCATTGTTGTTCATTAAGAGATGTCGGGACTCTAAATAACTGCTTATCATTCTTAAATAGGACTCATCATAGCAAAAAAACGTTAAAACTGGAACATCTGGCTTGTTTTGGACAATGTCATAGCATTTACTGAATATTTTGACCAACGATGTTCTTGTTATGCAGAAGGGATCACTGAAAACTATGACATTCAAGCATGACAGATATTCGTGCATAGAATTATTCTCACTCTTTGAAATCCTTAACGTTATTAACATCATTTATTAACATCAAATTAGATTTTTTCGAGTCTCCTGATACAAAGTCGAAAAAGATCCTTCCATAAGCTCTATTAAAATTTATGTTAAACGTCATCTTTCGGTAAAATCAAGCATTTTACTTGAACTAAGCCTCTCCTCTCTGGACGAGTACTTGGCAGTTGACTTCTTTGACTTTGTATAGAGATTTGTATCTTTGTCTCTCAAATCATATAAAGGAACAATTCGTTCAAGCCAGTCTCAACTCCCGACACTGTAGGTTAATGGACTGACACCTATCAGAAAACAACTACTCCCCTGGCTAATACCACGAAGATAGTTGGATTATATCCGACAGGTGTCAGTGCAGGTTTCTTCACTTAAGTTATTCCTGCACATCATGTTGGCGATATAACTGCCCCAATAACTTCAGTGAAGAATCCTGCACTGACACCTGTCGGATTAATCCAACGCTCTTCGTGTTATTAGTCAGGGGAGTAACTGTTTTCCGATAGGTGTCAGTCCATTAACCTACAATGTAGGGAACAAATTGTTCCTTTACATGATTTAGTTTATAGCCAGTCTTCAAGTATGCCAACTGGCTATATGTGAAAAATCTTTTTCTTTCTCTATTTCACTTCAAAATGCGATAATCACTGAATCATCTGGTAAGCTTCCCTGAGGTTTTCTTGAGTAAGAAATATTGGTAATACGTAAAAGTGCTTTGCTTTTCAGAAACCATACGCCAATAGTCTAATCAACAAGTTCAAAAACATGAAAAATAGAGGTAAAGGTCCTAAAAATATGAGCGATAGCGCATTCGATTCGAAATCACCTCTAGAAAAATGTTTTTGGAGGATTTTGGTGCAGGTAAAAAATTGCAATTGTTATTAACAAAATAAGATTT